CAGTTGGATAATGAAAAGTCTGCAAGAATACAAACCAAACTCAGAGATCACCAAGGACCCCATAGTTCTCTTCCTCTTCTTCCTCTTCTTCCTCCTCCTCCTCCTCCTCCTCCCCATTCTCTTTGAGCACTGATGATGTTACCCAGTTGGATAATGAAAAGTCTGCAAGAATACAAACCAAACTCAGAGAGCACCAAGGACCCCATAGTTCTCTTCCTCTTCTTCCTCCTCCTCCTCCTCCTCTCCATCCCCTTTCTAGCACTGATGATATTACCTAGTTCGGCAATGGAACATCTGCAAGAAAACAGACGCAGGGTTTGGACTTCTCCAGATGCATTTCAGCTTGGTTGAAACCCGCGATTCCCATGGAGGTATAATGCCCCCCACTTTCCTCCTCCTCTTTTAGCAGGTACCCTCCCGGTGTGGTGAGCGTGGCTCCCCCCGGAATCCCCACCGCCGTGGAAGGCATCGTCCCGAACGCCATGCCCTTATCGCATGGCCTGCCTCCCGTCGCTCATCCGCCCCACGCTCCTTCTCCCGGCCAGACGGTGAAACCGGAAGTGGATAGAGACCATCCCAACGACCAATTGTAGCCTACGAGAAGATCATTCCCAAGGTAGATGGTGGCAACTTTTGGAAAGCACGTGGTGAAACATTCGGACAGGTGCTGAACCACGAGGAGGACCTGGAGACGGGTCCCTCACGTTTTTAAGGAACTGGTCCCGATACGCAGCATCCTCGCGAGCAGCAGTGGGAGCGATGATGGAACGATGATCTGAAAACTTTATTCCTCCATATAAAAATGTAGTTTGTCCCTGTCCAGTGACCCGAATCACAAATTTTCTGTATTCCTGTGGGTTCTTTGTTAAGCCAGAGAAGTTAGTAGTTAATTATATCATGAATGTACTTTGTCTGTGTACAATTTTTAGAACATTAACCAAGGTTTGTTTGCTCCATGGTCAACTACAAGAACAAAAATAAAAAATAAAAAAACCACACACACACACACACACACACACACACACACACACACACAAAGAGAGGCATTTGACAAACCACTTTAAAAAGTTGAAAACTTTTTTGTTTTTGTTTTTTATATATGTTTAAAAAGAAATGCCCCAAAATTGAGGCAGTTGATGAAACTTCTCAGGATAACTCCCACCCACTTATTTTTCTTTCTTTCTTCTTTCTTTCTATGCCATACAGTGCATTGTTTTTTTACCTTCTTGTCTTATTATTTTATTTTTTGTTTTTTAGAATAATTTAATAAAATGCAAAAAAACCTCCCACCTTTCTCCTGATTTTGGCATAACCCGCCCCAACATTTCAGAATGAAGATGTTTGAAAGAGATTTTTGAGGTGCAAATAAGAAAGTTTTTGTATAAACAAAGGTCATACTTTTTGTTTTTGTCACCAGTTAAAGTATATATTATTGCTGAAGTGCAGAGAGAGAGAAAGAGAGAGAGAGAGAGAGAGAGAGAGAGAGAAGAGAGAGAAAGAGAAGAGAGATTGACTGAGAAAGGCGTACTAGAGTTACCGAAAAGTAGAAAAAATATTTCATTGCCTACATCAACTCCTTCCCAGTAACGTAGTAGGCTAGCAATATTTTGCGTTAAATCATGTTTGTGATTGTATCCATTTGTATGAATTATTTTAAAGAAATAAAAATTCCAAACAGACCACACTTTCTTAATTCCTTTTTTTTAACGTCATTTATTTCATAAGCACATTTCCTTTTGGCGTGGCTTTCCTAGAAATTAAACAGTATTAAAAAAAACACCAGGTTTTTTTCTTTTCTTTTCCTAATGCAGGCTGGAAAGAATATGTGTTCTAGCCAATTTCTAACAGAGAAAATTGGAAGGAGATTGGAAACATTGCAAGTGGGAGTTGATTTTTAATGAACAATAATGTCAGTAAAATGTTTTAGTTTAAATAAATAAAGCAAATAAGAATTTTAGCCTTCTTTTTTCCTACATATTTTGCATGTACGTATGCTGGTTGAAAATATATTATTTGAAGTATAAATCAGATGTCCTTATGGAATCCCCCCCCCCCCCCATAAAATCTACCCAGCTTACATTCACACACCCCAAGTGAAGGTTAGATCCATGCTTGGCAAACCCAAGTTTGCTTCCTTCAACAGTTGGAGGTCTTTTGTGAGGTACAGGGTCCTCAAGATGGTCTTGACATGATGGTCACCAACAATGACCATCTCAGGACCTCAGAAGTTCTTTCTCCTCCCTCAACACTTCTTCCTTCCAACGTCCAATGGATTGTGCTTCAGTTGAGTCCCTCCGTTACCACACCATTGATTTGATTTCCCTCCAAACCAACTCAAGTGGAAGGTCCTGGAATTGATCAATTTCTCGAGCTGTAGCCCCGTGGTTATTAACTCCACTAAAAAGATTGATTCTTTTCAGCCATAATGTTCAGGAACTCTTTATATTGGTTGAAATTTTTAATCTTCTGGAATTTTATAGACGGGCAAGTATAAAACCCTTTCAGCTGGCACATGCTGAATTCTCTGGCACGATGCTTGAATCCAACACTGTATTGTTACTATGGATTGCAGTTCTCTGGAAGCAAATTTGGGGATTTTGCTTCAGAGATGTACGTGGTAATTTCACAAAGAGACAAAAGTCGGCCGTGCTTTCATTCTTCAGGAGGCAACTTCACGATGGGCTTTTGAAACTTTTTTTCACAAGTGGGGTCTTAATAACTATGCTGGATGGATGGCTAGC